AAAGAAGAGATTTAAAAAATGAATATCAGTTAATGAGATTGCAAATGTAATGAAAAACTTACCAACAAAGAAACACTCAGGGCCTGATGGATTCACAACTGAATTCTACAAAATATTTAGAGAAATTTAAAGCCAATACTTCTCAAATACTTTAATGAAATGGAAAGGAAAGTAAATCTCCCTAATTCATTTCCTTGAGGCAAGTATTACCCTGATACCAAAATAAGAGAAAGACCCAACCAAAAAAAGAACTACATACCAATCTCCCTAATTAACATAGATGCAAAAGTCCTCAATAAAATACTAGTAAACAGAATGAAACAAATCATCAAAAAGATTATATACCATGACAAAGTAGGATTCATCCCAGGAACGTAGGGATGGTTCAGTATAAGAAAATCAATAAATGTAATACACCATATCAACAAAACCAGAGACAAAAATCACATGATCATCTCAATAGATAAAAAAAAAAAAAAAACTTTTGGTAAAGTCCAAGACTCATTCATGATAAAAATCCTACAGAAATTCAGAATACATGGGCTTTACATCACTCTGATAAAAGCCATCTATGACAAACCAACATCCAATATCATACTAAATGGACAAAAACCTGAAAGCTCTCACTTTAAAATCAGGAACAAGACGAAAATGTCCACTGTCACCACTCCTATTTAATATAGTTCTGGAAATACTAGCCAGAGCAATTACACAAGGGAGAGAAATAAAAGGAACAAGGATAGGAAAGCAACAAGTTAAATTATCATTACTTACAGATGACATAATACCCTACATAGAGGACCCCAAAAACTCCATCAAAAGACTTCTAGATTTAATAAGCAAATTCTGTAGCCTAGTTGGATACACAGTTAACACTCAAAAATCAACAGCATTCCTATATATAAATAAACTCACTGACAGAGAAATTAGGGAAACCACAACCTTCATAACACCATCCAAAAAATGAAATATTTAAGAATCAGTCTAACAAAGAAAGTGAAAGATCTATACAGTGAACATTATAGTACTCTGAAAAAAAAAGAGATCAAAGAGAATTTTAGAAATGGAAAGATATTCCTTGTTCAATGATACGAAGAAACAACATTGTGAAAATGGCCATACTTCCAAAACTGTTACACAGATTCAATGCAATGCTGATCAGAACACCATTAGCATACCTCACAGATCTAGAGAAAATATTCCCAAAATTCATCTGCAACCAAAACAGATCTAGAATAGAAAAAGCAATTCTGGGCAACAAAGGCAGGTAGGAGGCATCACAATCCCTGACTTGAAATTATACTATAAAGCTACTCTGATAAACTCAGCATGGTCCTGGCAGAAAACAGACCTGAAGTTCAATGGAACAGATTAGAACATGCAGACACAACAACAAACACACTCGGCCACCTTATGTTTGACAAAGGGGCCAAACATGTTCACTGGAAGAATGATAGTCTCTTTAATAAATATTGCTGGAAAAACTTACTCTCCACATGCTGAAGACTAAACTCAGACCCATGCCTATCACCATGCACTACAGTGAAAATGGATCAGAGATCTAAATATTAAAATAGAAACACTAAATCTACTGGAAGAGAAAATAAGTAAAAATCTTGAAGACATAAGGGTAGGAAAAGAGTTCATAAACAAATACGAAACTGCATGGAAAATCCTTCAAAGGATCAACAACTGGGATCTCATTGCAAAGTTTCTGCACATCAAAAGAAATCACCAACAGAGTGAAAAGAAAACCAATGAATTGGGGAAAAATTTTAGCCAACTGTCCCTCAGCCCAAGGAATTCTACCTAGAACATGTAAAGAATTTTAAAAAGTCAGGCCCCCAAAATTCAAAGACTCAATCCAAAAATGAGTATCTGGGATGAATACACATTTCCCCGATGAAGAAATGCAAATGGGAAATAAATATATGAAAAAATGTTCAACATCATTGGTCATTCGAGAAATGCAAATTGTAACAATGCGGAGATTCCATATCAACCCAGAAAGAATGGCTATTATCAAGAAACCAACCAATAACAAATGTTGGTGAGGCTATGGGGGGAAAGGAGTCATTCTCCACTGTTGGTAGGAGTGCAGACTTCTACAACTACTGTGGAAATCAGTGTGGAGATTCCTTGCAAAACTAGGACTAGAGGTCCCATTCAACTCAGTCATTGCTCTTCTGCATATTTTCCCAGAAGAACTGAAAACATACCACAGCGATATATGTGCACCCATGTTTATTGCACAGCAATTTGTGATAGCTAGGTCTTGGAAACAACCCAAATGCCCATCAGCTGAGGAATGGATAAAAAAAATGTGGTGTTTTTATACAATGGAGTATTATTCAGCTATAAAGAAGATAAACTTGAAGTTTTTATAAGTAAATGGATGCAATTAAGGACCATACTCATAAGTGAAATAAATCAGACCCACATGTGTAAACATCATATTGTGTCCCTAGTATAAGAAACTGAAAGAGTAAGTAAAATCTGAAAGGTACAATAGACATTGTGAAAGAGAAAGTAACTGCTCAAAAGGAAAGAACATCTGCGATAAGCAAAAGAGAAAAGAAAGAGAAAGAGAAAGAAGGAAAGATAGAAAGAAAGAAAGAAAGAAAGAAAGAAAGAAAGAAAGAAAGAAAGAAAGAAAGAAAGAAAGAAGAAAGAAAGAAAGAAAAGAAAAGAAAAAGAAAGGGAAAAATTTATATGTATATACACAAGATACCTAAGATAATTGTGCTGCTAATTTCTCTTGGCTTATTGAAAGGAACAATTAATGCTTAATTTTTTATCAATTTTGCATGCCTATATCTCATAATCTGAACAGCTACTCTGAAGATAACAATATGAAATATAACAACAATTGTTGATTTCCTATCATCTGGTTTTGAAATTCTATATTTTTTTAATGTTTTTCTTTTTTTAATTCTCTTTAAAATAAAAAAATTACAGCCTTCAAGATACTTATACCTACGCAGGATACCTATGCAGGATAAAACCTGGGACATAAGTGCATGTACAAAAAAGGATGCTGCCCAGAGGATGGTATCAGTCCCCAGTAATTCCTTTGTGTGTGAGAAAGAGATCTGAAATTATCATTTAATCCTCAGGAAAGAGCTTTCTGCCTGGCACTTGGTAAATGTTTAATGCTGAAGGCAGAGTGGGAGGAAGTTAGGGAGGATAACCAGGGCCAGAAATGAGGAAGGAAGGCCGGTAAGAGGGAGCAAGACTGAAAGCAAGGAGTGATGGAGACCACTAAAAAGTGGCTTTGGGCAGAATTTAATATTAACCATTGGCTTTCCATGTTTTCTTAGGAGTTGTCTGAAGCTTAGGCACCTTTGATAAAGATGGGCATTGACTCATAGTAAGTGAACCTCTGTGAGCCACTGGTCACTGCTGAGGCCTGTATTGACCTGTGAAGCTGTGATACTTCAAAGGGCAAGATAAGGCCACAACTGAGGATGTCTGGCTCCAACCCCAATTAACTACAAGGAGACTGCAGCTGCAGGCTCCACACTCCTACAATAAATACCATCCTAAAGATAAGGTTAGTTCTCCTGATTGACATAATTTACTACTTGGGAAAATTCTCCCAGGATCCTGCTAGATTCCCACATTTTCTTGAGTATCCTCCTCCTTTGTTTGAAAACCAAATAAACACAGGCTGCCCAGAGAAGTCTTTGTCTAAACCCAGAGAATATCAAAGCTGTAAGAGAGTTAGACCCTCCTGGAGCCCTGAAATAATTTCAACTGTCTCATCTATTTAAGCCTTCGTCTTCCGCTCTCTCGGGAGATTGCAGGTCTGATCAGCCCGCAATAACTAAGGGTTATTTAACCCAATAAAGGAGGAAAGACAGCATGGAAGGAAAGAAAGAAGGAAAAAGAAAAGAAGATGGAAAAGAAACTATGAAGGAAGCATGGGTGAAAGAAAAAAGGAGGGAGGGAAAGTTTGAAGGAAATTTGGAAGAAAAAAACAGGAAGGAAGGAAGGCAAGAGAAAGAGGAAAAGAAAGAAAATGTGAAGAAGGTAGGAAATGAGAAACTAGGGAAAGAAGGGGCAGAAAGTATAGAAAGAAGAAAAAGAGAGGGGAGGGAAGGAACAAATACAGCAAATACAGTGGAAGAAAGGAGAGGAAGAGACATAGAAATAAAGGCAAAAGAAAGAAAGAAGGATGAAGGGAAGAAAAGAAGGAAGACAGCAAGAGTAAAGATAGATAAAGAAAGGGAAGAAGAGATGCAAAGAGTGAAGGAAAGAAGGAAAGGGAGAAGTAGTGAAGAAAGGAAAGAGGGAAAGAGGAAAAAATAGTGGATACAAAAGAGTGTAGCAAACTCTTCTGTGTCTTTTCTGGGGGGATCTGAAGAGAAACAGGAAAGGAGAGGAGAGAAAAAGAGAGGAGAGGCTGGGAAGAGAGGGGAGAAGTGGGGAGGGGAGGGGAGAGGTGGGGAGAGGACAGGACAGGAAAGGAAAGGAAAAGAAAGGAGGGGAGGAAAGGTATAGAAACAGTACCCCCAATTCACAGTGGGATCTGAGGTTAAACTCACCAAAGTGGTCACATATAGGAAAAAACAATGCAGAAACCTGAGTTTCACAGGATGTTGCAAGGCAGAGGGAACATCTGTGGTGAGGAAATGCTTAAAGATGACCCAGACAAAAAGTCCCATGTGAAAGATGGACAGTCCTAGTAGCAGCACCAGGAACAGGACAGCCATGGTCTGAGGCCAAGGGACTGCTTCCTAAAGAACTGGCGAGCAACATATGTGAAGAGGACATGGCTGGTTATATGGGCTCTGACTCCACCCACTGTTTCTAAGCTGTGATTGACACAGTGGCCTGACCTGGCATTTTAGACGTCAGCTGGGCAATGAAAGCTGGAAGAACCTGCTCTCTGAGCAGTGCAGAGACCAGGAAATCCCGTTTGATTCACAAAGAGAAGTTTGGATATGATCTTCCAAAATATTAGCAAGGATTAGTCTCATATGGCATCTCAGCTCCTGGGGATCTGAGGAAGAGGTCACACATGGCCAAAGAGGCTCATATATGCTGACCTGCTGACTGTAAATTAGGATACAAGGCCCAAATCCCATAATAGAGTCTGCTTAGGGTGAGCAAAGCTGATCTCATTCCTTACTTTTTAGCTAGCTGCCTGGTGAGCACATTATACACTGATCATTTCTTCCTCTCTTAAAACAAAACATGTAGACAAAAATTATTCCCAAATCAGGCCTTGGTATCATTTTATTCCAGGGATTGGGAGGCTTAATGAGGCGTAGGTAAGTCTAGGGTAGTGGGATTCCTCTCTCCTGGTGCTAGGACCCAGAAATAAGCAAACCATCTGCAGGGGTCTTTGGAGATATTGGCTGAACCCAGGTCTAGCTAGAGGCCCACAGAATTCAGTAGGGCTGAGTCCAGTAGATGGAGTTTTATGGGGGTTACATTTCCAGTCCAGGGAAGGTTTGATAGGAAAAGAGGTGAACTATTCCTCTAAGTTGTTTATTTACTTAATTACCATTAAAAAGTACATAACATAAAATTTGCCACCATACTCATTTTAACCTTACAACAGAGAAGTGTCATCTAAATAAATCTTGTTATGCAACAAGATATCTTGCGAAACAGGTACTCTGTGTCCCTTGATCAACTCCCTTCCCAGTGCCAAGCTCTTGACAACAATGCTACTCTTTAAGAGTCTGAAACTATTTTACCTACCGTCTATGAATAGGATTATGTAGCATGTGTATTTTTGACACTATCTTAACTCCATTTAGCACACTGACCTCACACTTCATCCAAGCTGTGACATATGATAAGATTTTCTTCTATTGAAAAGATGAATATTATTCATTATATGTATATGCCAAGTATTTCTTTTTTCCTTTATGAGAAAGGAATCCACGGCCTTATCCATGCTAGACAAATGCTCTAACACTGAGGTAGAGCTACAGAATCTTTTGTTCACTCATTCAAACAATGAATATTTAGGTTTCCTACACTTTAGCATAAGCATGAATAATACTATAATACGTGTAGTTCTGCAAATATCCTCTAATTTATGTTGGTTTATTTATCTAAAATTAATCCTTCTGTAATGTCTGTACTGATCCTTTGCTATTTTGTAAAACATTGTCGATCTGTTAGTATTTTCCTCCTTTTATTTCTAAAATTAAAAAATAAAATAATATAAAATAAAATTAATCCTTCTATGTATGCATAGACTTATGTAAAAGTGCACATAAGTTGTGAGTGTTCAACTTGAAGAATTTTTTTTGTTTCTTTTTATTTTAAAAATAAAAGAAGGAAAACATTAACAGATAGACAACATTTTACAAAATAGCAAAAGAACAGTACAGACAAAACAGAGTTACAAACAAAGTGGAAGGAAATTAACAATGCTTGTTGTATTACATATTGATATCTTCAAAAGTGGTTTCTCGGGGCTGGGGATTTAGCTCAG